CTTTGAGCTAAATGCTAATGCCAGCATCTTGCTGTGCTGTGGTTCATGGCCCCCGTCAGAAGCGGAAAAAAGTCCACACACTCCACCTCCACATTTTTCATCAATTATAAACACTAACTGAGAAATAAAGAGGGATCCAAGTTGAATTTTAGTCTAATAAAAGTCAGCAACCTCTTCCCTTGGAGGGCCAAAATCAAACACCTTTTGTATTATATATTCTATTATTAAGATGCAAAAGGTTAATAGGATCCCAAGTTCCCTTGACTGACTTCCTGCACAAAGAGTGTGCTCAGATAATAGAAAAATAGAAGGTAACACATATTTACAGAGCATTTTTACTGTACAAAAAATAAAAACAGCGTACACATTGATTTATATTATAACTTTTAAAACATATTTATAACTTTATCTTGCTTGAAACATCTGGTGGGCCATCTTTGGCCATTGGACCATACTTTGGGCAGCTCTGCACTAGAGGAAAAGTCATTATAGTCTTTGGGTTTCGTCCTCTGGGCACTGTGAATATTTGAACCAAAGGTCATGGCAATCCATCCAAGAGTTGTCGAAATCTGAAGCAGCACTATGCTCCATTCAGCCTCTGTACTGAACTGTGGTTTACTTAAAACCAAATAAATATTTTTGTCAGTTAATGTCTCACTTTTTGATTTTAACAGGAGGAGCACTATTATACACCAGATGGAGCCTCAGCATGTGGTAATAATGCAGGCATCGAGGCCTTTTAATCTTTTAGTTTATTGTGTGTTTTTAGTGGTGCATTCAGTGGTACAGTAAAAGCTTTCCTGTTTATTTTCCCACCAGATTTTTTTTTGTCCCTAAAGCCTTTAAAACTGCATTTACTCCCGGAGAAATAAAAACTAATATAACTGGATTAAAATAAGTGACAGTGGCCGCAGTGTGTTAAAATACCCTTTAAATTAAGATAATTAGATTTGTAGGGTGAAAGCGGCTGCTTGTGTCTCCTTCCTGTCAACCACGTGACTGATGGAGGTCCACATTCCTCCCGGTGACGTGGGCGCGTAAACACGGGAAACGGGAGGGCAAACGCGGACCGGAGCTGCACCCTGAAGCCGGCGGCAGTGTGACCGATTAACGATCCGCTTGTGATCGATCCGGGAGCTGATCGGCCGGTGATCGGAGGCCTGAGGAGGAGGACCCGGGTCGGTTTGCGGTGCGCGGTGGGGCGGAGGAGAGATGCGTTGCCTGGTAACAGAAACTGAACTGAGGATGAAACCAGGCCAACCATCACTCTGAGTCAACATCTTCAGCTTCAACGGTCCACATATCTGTATTTATCTCTCCATATTTGAAGTATTTTATTCTCTTTGTATGCTGTTTTCGCTGTGTAGTCGATAAGTGTGTCCACATTTGCTATTTTTTGGACAATTTTGAGCGGAATACACTAATAATTCTGTATTTTTGCTTTGTAATGTGGTCTTTAATGGTACGTTTATGTAGATATAACGTACGTTTATAGCGACCTCGTTGCATTTTTGGCTAATTATGTAGAGAAATTAAATATTTTATGGTATTTTTACCATCCATGACATAGCAATATTACACAATATAGGATATAATCTTTGTTTTTACTGTCACAAAGTATGTCCGTAGAACAACCTGTAGCCTGCTACTTAATATTTGGTGGCCTAGTTGAAGTAATATAGTTATTTATATTTTCAAAGGCTCTAAAATACTGAAGCACAGGTCTAATATTAAAAAAGTGTTTCATTAAAGGTCCAGTGTGTAACATTCAGGCGGATCTATTGGCAGACATAGGCTATAATGTTCATAGATATGTTTTA